CTTGTGTCGTTAAAGTTTCGTTGGAACGAAGTTACGGAAAAATCAATTAACACATAATCAGGTGCAGTTACTGTTACATAATGGATCTGTACGTAAAACAGGTGTAAAGTACCCTGTTGACGAAAACAGAAAAAGATTTTCGGATGTATATTATACCTGCATTTTACCAAGCGGTGAAAATTGAGAGAAAATTGGCTACTGTATTCTGTTTTATGTAATAATATTTTTTGCTTTTGCTGTAAATTATTTAGTAAACAAGAACATCAAATGATTAAGGGGGGATTTTCAGATTGGCAACATGCTTCTCCACACTTCTCGAGACATGAAAAAAGTTTATACGACATAAACAATTACAACAAATGGTCAGATCTTAATTTTGCTTTAAAAAATAAGTACTATAAATAAACAACAACTCTTTGAGACAGAAAAATGACATTGGTATACTGTAATAGAACGGATGATGCAAATTATAACATTTCTTTCCAGACAAAATCTAGCTTTTCGAGATTCCTCTGATAAGTTGTTTGAACCCGATATTGGAAAATTTTTAAAAGCCACAGATATGATAGCCAAGTTTGACTTGGTAATGGTTAAGCATAACAGGCGTATACAAAATAAAAAGAATAAGCAGTGTATGCCTGCATCATATTCCAAATGAAATTATAACACTGATTTCAAAGGAAATTAAGGAATTCTTATAACATATCTCAGATGTAAACTACACAGAGCAAATCACCATAATCATTCGGTTTATGAAAATAAATACCGAAAACAAAAGAAATACAGGATTTCGACGTTTTTAACTTGTAGTAAAGATTTGGCTGACATTATTGAGGTAGAGCCTAAGTTCCCGAACATAATTATTGTTCGTTGCTGGAAGAAGGTTAAGCATTTTGACTATGAACATGCAGACGAACCTATTAGTGATCCACAAAGAAATTTCAAAATTAATTTTTATGTTTCAATTTTGGACACAACTCTCAACACACTGAATGAAAGATCTGCATTATTTAAGGAGCATAATGAAGCATTTGACTTTCTGTACAATATTTGTAATCTTAAAAACACCAGCAGTGATGAGAAAATGAAATACTGTGAAGATTTACAGATAAAGCTTTCTGATAAACATAAAAATTAAAGTGATACTGATGAAGAGGAATTGACATTTTGCAAAATATGGTACTGACCAATATGACGCCATTAGAAGTACGGACTTACAACGCTAGAAACCGGGTTTCGATACCCATGGCGGGCAGAGCACAGATAGCCCATTGTGTAGCTCTGTGCTTAACTTCAAACAAACAAACCATCAAAAGTTTTAAATTTCTTATTGGAAAATAATATGCATTTAGTATTTCCACATATGTTTGTCATTTTAAGAATTCTTTTAACATTGCCATTTTATAAGTTGAAAATTATAAAAAGTTATCTGAGATCAACAATGACTCAATTAAACATGAGATTGCTGATAAGTTAACACTCACCAGCTAATATAAACATTTTCTGAATTAAAAGCCAGACTACCCGATATTTTATAAAGATAATCAAAGTTTATTTATTTATTATATTGTAATTACTTATAATGCGAATGAAGATGTATCACATTATGCAGTTATTTTAATTTTTTAAGCTTAAAGTGGTGCATAGCTTATGATCAAATAAAACTAAACGTATGTATATTAACACAAGATTCTATTTATGTCAGATTTTCATGTAATGTATTTTATATGCATATGGATATTTTATATTAAACAGTTATAATTTAGTTTTACCAGTATAGAAATTAGTGCATGGCTTAATTGTATAATAAGTATTCGTATAATCTAATAAAAGTCTGCTTTACTATCAGATCGTAGTATGGTGTTTTATTTTTTCAATTAATATTGTATGTATATGATTTGATGTGAAATTAAATTGGAAATCCACATGCAAACCAATCTCACAACGTCACATACAGATGTATCTGTGCGTGTGGGCTGGGGGTGGGGAAGAGGGCGGCGAACCTGAATCTGCACACGGGCGGCCGAGAGGCACGATCCGGCCCTGGCTCTCATAATTTCTTTATGATAAATTTTGATGTATCTGCTAAATACTAGACGAACTTTAAAGCTTTAAAGAGATATTTGTACAGTTTTCTTGATGAATTCAGCAGTCAATCTACTTTTTTTTTAAATTGATGATTTTTCTTTATGCTGTGCTTTAAAGCCATCCGATTAATGACGATCACTCGCCTTGTCACTGTATTGGAGCTGGCATTACCAATTCTTGTTCAAATTTCTGTATCGTTAATTGAAGGTATTTATGCATCCTATTGCTGAGAAGATAATAATCTTCTAATCTAGCGTTTCCATACGGGGGCTCGAGAGTCACGTTCGAAATTTCATAAAAATATTTAAAAATATGATTTATAGAATAAAATTATTTTTCGTAGAATTAAATTATCATGAATTAAAACATTTAATTTTGGAATACAGCTTTTCATGTACACGGAAATGATTTTCAAAACAAAAACATTGATAGGTTTAGAGGTTCGAGAAAAAATATTTTAAATTAAAAGAGGTTTTGGGGTTACTAACGGCCAAAGTTTGAGAGCCGCTGTAATAGACAATTTACCAAACTAATTTTATCTTGACTCAGCAGCAGCGAACCATCCGAAACAAAGAGGTAACGAAGCACTTATGAGAATTAATACTCTACCTGTGCACATTTTATCACTTTCTGCATACATCGCACTGATGGTTTTGCCTTAAATCCTGGGAGCTGCGTTGCGTAGTAAAAAAGTCCGTCGCATGTTTCTGAGATATTATTGACTACTACATCTCCATTTGCTGTTTTTATCACAATCTATTAACGTAATCATTGATTTTGAGCAACCAGAACTGTTACGCTACCTAAAAAATATAGAAACAAAGATGGACACATATTAAAAGCAAAGAAATGCAGCAGTGTATTGCTAAATTATATTAGAAATAGCTTTGCCAGTAGAGAACAGAAATCTCTGGTGGTATTAGTAGGGGTAGTTATAGTATTAGTAGTATAAGTAAATTGTCTTAAAACAAAAAACAGACTTCATAGGTGCCTGGACTGCTGGTTGAAGGATCCACTTAATCAAACTGACACAGTAGATGTACAGAAACGTATCCTTTCTTTCATGTTAAAATTGTAACCTTTACATCTCCCAGAAAAGTGCGATGCAACAGTACATGTTAAAGGCCCAGATTACGACACAACTGATTCAATTTTAATAAACTCTTCACAAGAAAGTGCAAATTAGAAACATAGCGCTCACAATATCAGTATATATTTTCAAAATAATTCCTAATTTTTATTTTATCGCCCTCTGACGACACGATAGAATAGAGAAAAATTGTCAGTCATCGCGTCTATATCTCGTAATGGCTATTGCTTTAACAAGTTTAAATTCAAGTATCATGGTTGCAGAAAAAGAACAGGTAATAGTAAATTGTCCAGAAGATATAAGTAGAAGTTATCACATTATATTTTAGATATAATTATCATAATTCCCATTGTTTATTCAGTTTAGGTTTTACTTTATTGTTTATATAGTTCATGTTGTCCACTGATTCAGAGTCGTATTACTATTACTAATAGTATTAATTATTAATATTAATTTATTATTAATGTTAGTATTACTACTATTAGTAGTATGTAGCCTGAATTAGGTGAAGTTTCAACTTCAAAGTGGGGCTTGGGTTTGTCTTGTGGTAAAACTGTTGGTTTCGGAGTTGGCGAACCATGTTCGAATCCGTGTGATACCTTCAGTTAAAATATTTCTTGCACTTTAAGCTATGGACGTTTTAAATTTAAGAATGAAAGGGATTACCTATAGCCAAAAGAAGTTTAGTGTATTTATAGACATTTTGATTACAAAAGAGGTAATTATCCCTCAATACAATTCACTAGTTAAGCCTCACTAGGAACATTGTTTACAACTTTTTTCTCCTTATTTAAGAATTTGGAAAGGGTTCAGAGGAGGGATATTAGAATGATTCCATGGTAAAATAGAGTAATAAACCTTGGACTGAAGATGACATGTGAAAGTGTCGAAACTTGTATTCATATGAATTTAATGTTGTTCCATAATAGTGGATTTGACCTTTATTTTAGAGAGGACAAAAGTTTAAAATCGGGAAAAGACAGGCTACACCAGTTAAGGCAGTTTTATTTTTCTAACAAGGTGATAGACTTATTGGATTTATTATGATTACAAAATGGGGCAACACAATCAAAATTCTACCAGAGGATGAGACAAAGGAAACATGAAGATCAGGCAGTTACTAGACAAACACTAATGCAAAACGATCACCAATGACCCAACAGAAAAGACAGAGAGACTCATTAATAGAACACTGAACAAACTTAAGAAACAAAACTTAATCAATGGGAAGCTAGCCAAAGACTTAAGACAATTTTCCCCCTCGTTTTGACAGACTACATAAGGTACACAAACCTAACATACGTTTAACCCTTTCCATACGGGTCATTGGTGAATGGCCATGTCATCGTGTATGTTGAATTGCGTTCAAAATTTTATTGAACTACTATTTCATGAATTT